CGATGATTGCGACTAAGAGAAAAGTGATGCAATCAATGCAGGGGTCGGGGGATGGGGCGGGGGCCACCAGATGGAGACAGCGGCCACAGTAGAAAACGTTGGCTGCATATACTGGCTGCTGCATTACGGGGGCGTACGGACCCCCTTGAAGGTTGCATTCCAAGCCATATCATACGTCGACAGCATACGCAGGCCGGCGGGTGGCCCGCACCTTACAGTGCGAATTTCGAGTCTCGGCCGACTCGCTTCTGCAGGACAACGGTCAACATCGCATCATACAGTGTGTCGGATTTTGACTCGAAGACGACAAGACGGGGGGCGGCACGGTGGACGACGAGATCAATAATAGTCGTAGAGAGAAGTACTCCGATATCAACGTCGGTAACGGACAACGACGGATGGTGGTGTGCAGATTGCTAGCCAGGGGGAAGCACTGGCCGAGCCGCCGAGGCACCGCAGCAACAACGACCAGTTTCTTCAGCTGATAAATCAAAGATAGGGCGAAGGCGAAAGGCAAAACCATGAGGATAGTTGAGATATGGAGGGATGGAGGGGAGGAAGGAAGCCCGAGTCGAGCGACAAGACGGGACGCGAGAATGGTGCGCGGCTTCGGCAGACTTGTCTACCGTTCCTTCCTTGACGCAGCAAGATGGGACGGAGTTTGATGGATGGGTACAAAGACGGAGACCCAACCTTAGTGTTTTTTGAGCTCCATGTCACCATCGGTACTGCTGATACAGAACGGCAACGGGATGCGCGCAAGATCCAGTGAGGAGAGGGAAGGTAGAATGGAGAGAGAGTCGCGCGACCTCCTGGCAGTGGGCACTGCAACGACGGGCAGAAACTGAAGACAGCGGGTATGGACGCACCTCACCACCAGGCGAGGCGGCGGACGGAGAATCCAACGACGCCATTATCGAGAAAAATGCGTTTCTCATTGGCGCACCCTGTTGGGCAGATGGATGTGGTGTGGTGGATCCCTTTCCTCATTCGCAAGCCGTCCACGGATATCCTGGGTCAGTCAGCGCACAGTGCGGGAAACACTGCCCCACTTTCGTCCCAGCGTTTCTCGCAGGCCGGGGGGATGGGAGACGTGGAAGCGCGCTCGCTACGTGCCCGGTAGCTACGAAGTACCTGCCTGAAGTCGCAGGAAGCAGGAGCAACATGGAAGACATGGTCCTGAGCCAGCGGTAGCAGAGTGAAGTACCCGCTTGAAGCAATCTGGACGAGTCCATCTTGAGGTACGTGTGCGATTAGCAAGCAGCACCGGTCGCATTCGCTGTTGGAGGGAAGGAAAAGAAACACGAAAGAACCGGGACGGGGGAACGGGGGTGGACGGTGGACGTGGGCATGGGTGTGGGCGTCGAGAAAGAGAGAGAAGACAAGACGGGACACTGGACCAGGCAGGGACATGGACATGGACGTGTGGACGTGGTTGAACGTGGGCGTGCTGGTGTCAGAGTGTGCGCCGCCGCCCACCCATTTTCTTTTCTCTCGTGCGCCTTCGCCTTTTTTAAAATCGTCCTCCGCAACGTCATACTTGACCTGTGACGTCTGCCGTTTTTTCCCAACAACCTTCTCTCGCCTCGACTCGTTCTGCACCCCCGACCTAGCAGCAGCAGCACCAGAACCACCTCCCAGACCATCGCATCTGGCCGCTTCCGCTGGTGCACACATCCAGCGCATACCTGACGCAACACGCAGTCCACTTCAGTATTTTTTTTTTTTTCTCGAACGACTTCGTTGCCGGCCGTAGAGTCTGTCAACAACGACTCTTCCCCCCTTCCCAGATACGTCGCAGTCGATCATCAGAAAGCTTCTCCATTCCAGCTTGTGCCGCTTCCAATTCAGAGGAGCGCTGCAATAGCGTAGCTGCTGCCTCTGACGACTAACTTTCCTCTCACACTTGGCTCTCTTGTCTCTGCATCGCCTACCAACCCACCTTGGGGCTATTTTCGCTCCCCTTCGCTTCCACTCTGTCGTCCTTTTGAGCCTATCCTTCTGCGTGCCATCCTCCTCTGACCTCATCTGGCTTTTTCCAACACCACCACACATCATACCTCCCCCTGCTACCGTCACTTTTTGCCATCGGCGTCTTACCCCACAAACGTCAATAACCCTCTTTTCCCCCAATATAATACATCATCGTCGTCATCATGGGAACTTCGCCGACCGACGCCTCGACCGGGGGTGACAACAAATCGCCCAAACAGTCAACCAATGCCACTCCTCCTCGTCAAGGTATGTTGAACATCTTCTGCAAACTGCTGCCGTCGTGACAGCCTCCAGTAGCCGACTGATATCCCTCGTTGTCGTTCACTCGCTCACCTACCTCCAGACACTGCTCCCGAAGTAAAGCAACCTGACCCGAGTTTGAAGCCCGATGCCGACGGCGCGAAACCTCTTGGACCTCCCCCACGACCCGGACAAGCTACAGGAAACACTCCCGATTACTTTGGCGGCGTAGCAGCTGCATCCCTCAGTCTGGAGCCCAATCCCTTCGAGCAGTCTTTCGGCGGCGGAGCGCCAGAGACACCCGGTGGCACGAAATTGCCATCTGTAGCCGCTTTGACATCTCCATCCTCGCTGCTTCCTGGCAGCGGTGCTACACCGTTCAACTGGGGAGGAGGCTCGCTTCGAACGGGCCCCCTGAGTCCAGCTATGCTGTCCGGCCCTACAAGTGACTACTTCAGCGATACGCATCATCTCCGAGGCGGGTTCCCTACACCGAACGAGTCTTCATTGAGGACGGGCTTGACACCCGGAGGCAGTGGATCTATGTTCCCAGCCCCTAGTCCCAACTCTCAGCAACTGTTCGCCCAGCTTGCCAGTGGTGGCGCTACGCCCAGTACGATTGACTTCCATCGTACGGCTTTAAGTGCTGCGGCGAAGCGTGAAACCCAGAACCAGAATCAAAACCAGCCTCAGAACCAGCAGCAACAGCCTGCCTCTTCTGTCACTTCTCAGCCGCAGGAGATGGCCAACGGTGTCGCAGTTGTCAAAACCGAAGCAAAGCAGCCTGGTGCCTTCGACCCCCACGATAACGACGCGGCGAACGGTCTGTTCATGCTTGCTCAGGGTAGAAACGGAGCGCAGCCACCGGGATACGCCCCCGCGACGCAGGCTCAGTCACATCCGCAACCTCCGCCAGCGCCCGCCCAAAGTGTCGAGACTTCTCCCCAAATGGGCAGCGTAAACGGTGCAGGATCTGCCGGTGCTGGATCTTCTGTAAGAGGCGTAAGCGAAGGTGGAAGCGCCGCCTCGGACGAGAGCGAGCAGGCTCGACCTTCTACCCGTGGCAAGGGCAAGCGTAATTCGACCGGTGGCGCGGTCACTAACGGCCGCAGGAAGGCTGAAGAACCTCCAGCAAAGGCACCCCCAAGCAAGAAGGCCAAGACCAACCTGTCGCCTCCTCCTGACATGAATGGAGATGAAAGCCACTCAGACGACGATGATGATATGAAGAAGCATGACGACAAGGAAGGCGGCTCCAAGTCAAAGATGACAGATGAGGAGAAGCGGAAGAACTTCTTGGAGCGTAACAGGTACGTTCTGTCGTGTTTACGATCTTGACCTGGACTAACAAATTTCGCAGAGTCGCCGCCTTGAAGTGTCGCCAGCGCAAGAAGCAGTGGCTGGCTAATCTCCAGTCCAAGGTTGAGCTGTTCAGCAGCGAGAACGATGCGTTGACAGCACAAATAACGCAGCTCCGCGAGGAAGTTGTCAACCTGAAGACGCTACTTTTGGCACACAAGGACTGTCCTGTCACCCAGCAACAGGGCCTCCACGGCGCGTTCATGCAACAGGCCATGGAGCCCTTCAACCCTCAGATGAACCCATACGGCATGGGTGCGCCCATCCCCCAGCAACAAGTTTTGGCAGCTGGACAGGGCGTCCAGCGACGTTTCTCATGAGAGAAGTGATGCGTAATCTGAAGCGCTCGTGAATGCGTTGAGGCCAGGGCAACATCCCAGATGCTTCTTGGATGTCGTCGGCTTTCTCGCCCTACATGCGCGAAACTTTTCTTCATTTCTTCGGCTTAGCCTTGACTTGCGGTTCGACTGTATCATCATTTTTCCGACAAACCTGCTCCATCATCACCACTTCACTTCTGCCATTTGATCATGGGGTTTCGCTGAGGAACGGGCTGTAAAAGAAAAGGAGCAGCCCCCCTCGGATTGAAGGTGGGAGGCTAGCAGGCGTCATTGGCTTGTCGACGGCGCATATGTTCCTTCATTGAAAGGTACAAGATGCGCGGCATATACATCAAAAGGAGTTCGGGTTAGGCAAGTTCATTGAAAGGCGGCAGGCGTCGAGGGGTAGATGACGGGCACACGCCGTTATCTGCCGGACTGGTTGATTTTATTTTATCATTGATTCGAGTATTGACGTGGCAATGGTAACAACAGCTGCATGAAGCAACGCGTTGAGGTCAATTTAACACTTTACTGAATGAGTTCCTTGCCTTTCTTGTAACGTGAAGTTTTACATGTGATGTGCGACCTAATGATAGATTGGAATTGATGCAACAGGCGGCCATTCGACCGTTCGTAAGGTATCGACGTGAATGGGATATGTGTAGTTGAAATAGGAGGTAAGTGATGTCAGTGAGGCGGTCTTACCTTCGGGGGGTGAGTGGGTGAGTGGTGAGACTTCCGAAAGCGGCTTAGCGCGGCTACGGGTAAATGGTCCCTCATGTAAACAACATCGCAGACGAAGCTGCACCTCGTCACTTTCGCGCCGCCAACACCGACAGACGCGACACCGACGACACAACCCCCGCCAAAAATCGATTGAACCAACGCCTGCCGACGACAAATCATTAATCATTCAAGTAAATCGCGTCTGAACGGCGATTGACGCGATATTTTTCTGCATCGCAACCAGCGCGACTGCAGGACCCGAAGCGCCGGCAATCAACCTCCCGACCATATGCTCCCTGACACGCGCCATCCATGACGACCGTCACACGAACCCGTCAACCGCTACAAGTCATTAGCATGAGCAACGAATTGCCCGAAAGAAGGAAAAGCAAGCGCCTTGCGGGTGAGTTTGAGGAGCCGAATGAGGCCCCAGGGGCGGCGGGGCGGACATGGATGCTAAAAACTCGCGCAGCGACTTACGATGAGGCCGATGGCGATTTCCATTTCACACGCGGATCGAAATCGAAGCGCGTTAAGAACGCGCAGCCAGAATCAGAACCGGAGCCGGAGCCCGCACCATTGCCCCCGAAGAAGTCCGGAAGAGGAAGACCACCAAAGGAACGGGCTGCGGCGGCCGCGCCTGCACCTACGCCCTCTAAGGAACCGGCGGTGAAGAAGACTGCGACTTCGAAGGCGAAAACGCGACGACCACCCAGTTTGGAGGTGCTCGATGAGGACGAACCACAGTTGGTCGCGCCCGCGCCTAAGCGGACGACGCGCCGCAGTACGCGCAACTCTACAGCCCCAGCGGAGAAACCAGAGGAGAAGCCGGCACCTAGACGAGCATCGAGACCAGCACCTGTTCCGGAGGAAACTTACGATGAGGCGGAAGGCTCAGAACCGATGGACGTTGACAGGCGGTCGACACCGCGCGTCTTGAACGATTCGGTGGAGTCGGCGAAGATTGCACTCCCCATCAGCGACACACCGGTCATCAATCGAAACAAGGAGATGCGGAAAAAGGGAGGCGGAAATCGAAGGAGCAGCACAGGCATGCGAGGCCGGAGAGCGAGCTCACTGATTGAGAGCGGCCACAACGCGATCCCACACAGGGAGGTCGAGACGGCGGAATTCTATAAACATATCGAATCAGAGGGTCTCATGGAGCCGCGGCGGATGAGGCAGTTGCTGACCTGGTGCGGCGAGCGAGCATTATCGGAGAAGCCGCCGCATGGGAAAACAGGCTCTAATGCGGTTCTGGGTGGTGAGTCGGGCAGCAATCAATGTTTTCTCACAAAGCTAACTCTTTACAGCCCGATACATCCAGGAGCAATTACTCAAAGATTTTGCGAACAAGTCAGAATTTTCCGACTGGTTTAGCCGAGAGGAGGGGCCAAAGGTGCCCGTGGTGTACAAGCCTAACCCTCGCAACATTGAGCACCAGGAGAAGATTGAACAATTGGAAGCAAAGGTTAAGAGGTATGTTTGGGATTCCTATGAGACTTGTCTGCGCGCAGAAATCCTGACATCCCACACAGGTTGAAGGAGGAAAAGAAGAAGTGGCTCGCATTGAAGAAGTCCCGCACAGAAGCCCCGCCACTATTCCCTGATTCAGACCCTGCGCAAACAGCCATGGCAGACGCATCAGTACTCGACCCCAGCGAGGCACAGATGCTCAGTTGGCTCACGAACCCATCATCCTCGTTCGACTCCATCCGCGCCAAGGCACTCGCTAGTCTTCAAAACACACAGGCCACGCTGGAGTTCAAGGTCGACCAACTCGCGGACGGCGTCCACAAGCTCATGCAGCGGGTCGACACGGCAGGCCGAGAGGCGGATAAGGTGCTCTCTCTCAGCGCCGCGAGGCTCAAGGAGCGCGAGACGCGGGAGAAGGCCACGGTCGGCACCAAAGAGATGCCCGTCATGGAGGTCCTGCGCAGTCTGGGTAGGATACTTCCCGAGGGCGACACATGATCAACCAGAATTATAATGTATACACGATCGATCAACCCAAGTTTGTGTGTTTTCCTTCTCTTATGACGAAATAATGATTGGCACGGTGGCTGAGGAGGAAAGGAGAGGGACTTGCCTCTTTCCGATTTGTTCATGAAACCTTTGATGGGCGGGGAACTGTTTTACCAAGACATGTTACTTTCGACGCGATTCTTGTTATTGCATGGCTTGGCGCTGGGAAGGGCAAGGCATGGCAGGGCGAAGGCAGGGCTTTTTCTCTTGTCGGCGGTGGCATGATAAAACAGACAGATTGCGTCTGGACGAAGTGGGAGTTTTGGCAGTCGAACAATACCCAATTTTTCTCTGCTGTTTGCTACTAGCTCAGCATTCTTCTACCTCTGCTTGGCATCGGTGATTGTCTGTAGATGACCCTGGATTGCTTACAAGGACTGCAGTTCTGAGTGAGTGATGGTGACTGGAGGTCAGTGAGTTTATCCAAGCCGTAGCAATGAACGTCATTTTCATGTGGCACAAGACTGCTCTGATGATGATGATGGGGTCCTTTTCGGTATGTGATGTCCGTAATCATTCATGACTTTTCTCAAATGGTGAACATGGTATGTATACACTACAACACTCTCGGAAACCCTCGAGGTGAGTTGATGCCCGTCCCGTTGCATCGCATTTGACTCCATCATCACCATCCACCCGCGGCAAAAACGCGGATATGCTTCTGTAAACTTCGTAATTTGTTTTTTGTTCTTTAGGCAAGCCCACAGACAAACAGCCCTGCCTGCGTCGCCCACAAACAAGGAATGGCGCGATCTGTTTCTAGATGAGATGCTTGGACCTGAAGTACGCCCTCAGGTACATGATCTGCCAGCCCCAGAGGCCGACGAGGATCATGGTGGTGCCGATGCCGAACCACTTGACGCGGGTGTTTGTGCTCTCGTTGGTGTCGCGCAGCTTGTGCTCGCGCGCGCGCAGGTAGTCCATCTCGGTGTTGATCTCGCTGACGAGCTCGTCGATGCGCCTCAGCTCCGCCTCGACGGGCTTGAGCTTCTCCGTCGCCTGGATCGCGTTCCAGTCCTTTGCGTCGGCGCCGATGTCGATGTCGAGCTCGATGTGGCGGCTCGTGGAGCCACTGCGGCCGGCTGTTGTGGGAGGGATCAGCTTCAGTGTTGCTTCTTATAGCAGCGGGGGAGCAATGGGGATGGCCAAGTCAAGAGGACGGTGTAGGGGGATTCCACGTACATCCAGTCAGGAGGTTCTCGAAGCAGACGTCAAAGGCAGCGTCAGCGTGGGAGGTGAAGACAACGCGCTTCTCGCCGCCCGCAATATCCTTGGGCTTTCCGTAGTCGTTGCCAACAGCATCTCTGATCTGGAATCACACAAACCGCACGTCAGCTTTTCTGTATGCTACCAAATGAGCTTCAACAGGGATTCCTCCCTTCTCCCTCCTTGAGCGCCGATCCAATTGAACCAACACCCCAGTCGAGAGAGGGGCCCTCTTCTTCCTTGAGACCACGTACGTGCATGTTGACGACCATGCCGTCACCCTTGTGGCCGTCGACAGTCGCCGTGACGACGACCAGCGTATCTCTCGCGACAAAGTTACGGATGCATCGCTCCTTCTTGCCCTCGTGGGAGCCCGTGGCGTGCAGGTCGAAGCGCAGCGCCTGGGCGCAGCATGCGAGCAGGACGAGGCCGCACACGTAGTGCAGCAATGATCTCGTGGCCGCCATCGTTGTATGTGTGCAATCTGTACGAAGAAAGGGACGAACGACTCGGATCGGTGGGTTTCGTTTGCGGTTCCCGGGAGGGGGGGGAGGTCGAGCGGTGGGAGGTTGTCAAGATGGTGGTGAGAGCTCCCTGAGGTTGAGGTAGTGGACAACGCTGGCGATAGGAGAAGCTAGGCCCATGACAAGTGGTACCAAGGAACCATGCACACACCCTTTGGGGATTTTTTGGCAATCTGTCGCGTTCGAGAGCCTGGGCCACTCAGACACCCCTGTCCATGGGGATAGGTTAATCGCACGACCAATCACCGCCGAGAGGAGGGGCAGCCTTGTCTGCTTGGCAGCTCCGAATGATTGGCCAGCCTCGCAGCTTTTTTTTCTGTACTGGCAAGCAAGCAAAGCTGGTGTGGCGCTCTGAGGCGCGCCGCATTTACCTGGGGCCTGTATTCCTTTCTCCAGCCCGCCCACCATTGAATGCGACGATACGCGCGCTCGTCTCGAGGAACAATACTTTTGTTCCGTCCGCATCAACCACCGTCGAGTCCTTCGTTTCGGAACAAGCCCAACCGTAAAGATGCCCAAGTGTAAGCTCTCCATCACCTCTCCCCCCGTCGCGCGTCAGAACGAAAGCTAACAAGTTCGCAGTCTTCTGTAAGGTTCCCCCCCATCCTCACGCAACAGCTCGCGATCGCACGAATCTTCCGACATCGACTAACGAGATATGCCTAGGCGATTACTGCGACGTCTACCTGACGCATGACTCCATGAGCGTGCGAAAGGCGCACAACAGCGGTCGAAACCACCTCCGCAACGTCGTCGACTACTACCAACGTATGTTTCCCGCCCAATCTCGGGCCTCGCGATACTTGGAGCAAACGACTAACACAGGAGCTTCCCTCTTCCAGAAATCGGCCATGAAAAGGCACAGTCTGTCATCGACTCAATCACCTCGTCCTACGCCGCCGAAGGCCAAGCGCACAACAACCCTATGCTGCCGCAGAACCAGCCGGGCCAGGCCTTCCCGCCGCCCTTCCCCTTCCCTGGAGGTGTACCGCCGCCATTCCCCGGCATGCCTGCTGGCGCGCCCCCATTCCCTCAGGGCATGATTCCTCGTAAGTATTGCCTCTCCCACTACGACAAAAATCGTCGACAACACGCGTCTGACATGCTTGCGACAACAGCTCCCGGTCCAGGTGGTCGCGGAATGCCGCCCATGCCCCCCTTCCCCGGCGGTCCCAATGGAGCGATGCCGCCCGGCGGCTTGCCGTTCCCTCCCCCGGGAGGACTTCCTTTCCCGCCTCCCGGCGCGCCGGGCTCTCTGCCCCCGCCCAACTTCCAGTTCCCCGGCATGCCACCACCAGGTGCCGGTGGCTTCCCTGGAGCACCTCCAGGCGCGTTCCCTCCTGGTAGCGCACCCCCGGGCCAGGAAAAGAGATGATCGCACGGCCATCGTTTCCTCGTAGATAGGCTTGTTTGTTCTTGGGTAGAGGATGGTGTTCAGGCGTCACATATTTAGGGGCAAAACTTCATGGCACGGCACGGTAGATGACTATTCATACCAATCACATCAGATTCATCATCGAGAAAGAGGAACATTTGTACTAGAGCGCCAAAGGGTTCATCGCCCTTGCAAAATGGTATCTTCTTGGGCAATTTCTATATGATACAGCAATGGTGGTTCCATCGTTCTCGGAACACCATCCCAGCCAAATCATCGTAGACGTTCCGAGCTCCCAAAGTCAACACCGTTCCCGAAAAAGAAAATATCTACCACGTGATTCGTGAAGAGTATCGTCCTTGGTCATAAAAGTTCCTGTAGTCGTAATGATATCGTTCGTAGCGGTCATAATGTCCTTCTGCCCCTCCTTGGTATTCCTTCCTGATAATTATGTATAAGTGCCCCCAAGCAAGGCGCTTGGTGGCTAGCGTTGATCATTGGCAGATCAAAAGTTGGTCGAAGGCGAGTGCCTTTGTTGGTGCATCTCGCGGTAGGTGTTGCGCCGTATCACCTCACCTACACCGTCTCGCACTTCGCGTGGGCCACTGATTTTCTGTCGCAGTTCCTGCGTTCTCTTTTCGCGCTTACGCTCGTTTAGTTGCCGCGGAATGTTTTGCAGCCCTTCCAGCGTGCCCGAGAGTGAGAAGCGTCGTCTCCTTTTCGGTCCTGCCTCGCCCCTTGTCCCGCTTCGGCCATCGCCATCCTGACTGTCGTAAGGCGGCGGGTCGTCCGACTGGTCGCGAAGAGAGTCTAAGCTGCTCCTGCGTCTCATAACCCGCAGGTTGCCGCTGTCTGTTCGGCGAATCGTTCGGCGCTCCGGCTCATTCGGACTAGGGGGAGAGTAGGAAAGGCCCTCATCACGGTTAGGCAGAATTGCGAAAGTCTTCCTCACGCGCTCGCTGATCCTTCTGCGAGGAGGCTGGGGACGGTTGTCAATCGGAGGGTACCGGTAAACCTGACTGATGGGCTCGTCTTCCATTTCTCTTTCCCACACGTCATCATCCGGGTCGGAGTAGGCCGGACGCCAATGAGGATGGAGACGACCATCCTCAGGCGGAGGTCCTTCGCACTCCGGACATGAGCATGGTACTTCCACAGAGGACTCGTCCTTGTGTGACGACCTAGAAAGAGATCCTCTCCTAGTCAGAGACAAGGTTCGGGTGAGAAGGCTAGGTCTGGCGCTCTTTGGTGGATACGTCTCCGAATTCCGTCTTCGCGTCAACGCCCGTCGCACAATTGATCCGGTCCGATGAGGCTCTTCTTCAACCATGGTCTCAAAGTAGTTGCCCATATTTCGCTGTCTCTCGTGATGAGGCGTAAGGCCCGAAGGTGTAGCAGGAATGAACTGGATCGCCGGCGGAATGAATGGAGGTACCGGTGGAGCGGCGCGTGGATTGCGCAACGGAGAATCCACGTCATCCACGGAACGCTGCTGCGGAGGAGTCATGAAGCCCTCCTCACCGTCTGGGCCAGTGGTGGTGATTGTCGGTCGTTGAGGCGGTCTCAAGAATTCCGAATCCGTCTGAGACGACTCAGTGCTTGAGCTCTCCGAAGGCTTGTTGGAATGATTGACAACGAGGACAGATGAGTTTTGGTGGGGATAGAGGCTCACAGCCTTTGCTTCTGATACCTCAGGGGCAGTACCGTTAGTCTCTACTGAGGTTGCGGAGAAAGGTGTGTTGTGTGCGTCCAGCCGCTTTCCAAAGAAGGGGTCTCCATGGTGGTCGACATTGTGCTTGTGGTCCCGATGATGGTGGCCGTTGTCTGTCTCTGAAGACTGAGCC